CATGCGGCAGGAATACCTTGTCTCCTCGTGTTCCCTTTTCTCCTCTTTCTCCTTGCAGACCCTACAAATATAAAGAAAAAGAGATTATGAAGCTCAATCCAAGTAGAGGCATAGTTACCTCCTCTAATTATGCACCAAAACACTGTGCATGTCTGCACAACATATTCAAGTGAACCTCAAGGACATATTCCACATTGCCAGCCCTCAAATTTGGCTTCAAGCTTGGTCTAAGCAGACACACAGGGCAAGGATGACCTGTGGGCCCAAGAACATCTGTGGTATCATATTGCCTGCAGACACATGACCCTCCTGCCAACAGCAGCGTGGAGGGACAGGGAACACACCACAGCTGCAGATGGTCTGGAAGACAACCAGTGTTCAGCATTTTTGATGTTGCTCATAAACAACGAGGACTTAGAGGACGATACTGATGGGGAAAACTATTGCATAACCAAGCAAGAATGCCCATTTCTGGTGGTTTTGAAGGTGGTAGCCAGGCAGACAGCAGGTACCTCTGAGACCTGGCAAGTGCTAAATAATCCTTGTCCTGGGCGCCCAAGCACATTTTTGCTCTGTGAATCCAATATCAGTGTTAATCTGGACCACATAATTCTTCTCCTCCCAGGTGTACCAGAACAATTTCCTGGGGCTGAGTTTGATTTAAAAAAATGATGCTAATCCAGATGATCAGCTCAATGGACCAGGACAGACCTCATCTTCCCTTGATAGGGGAAGCACTTTGCATTTCGCCTTTATTGTAGCAACCAACTAATGACTACAGGCAAATATACTCAGTCTGTGGTGACCTCTCCAACTGCCAAACCTTAAAATGCTTCTTATTCCAATAAAACATCCATTTAAACTTCATTTTGCTCCACACGACAGTGGAGGTTTGCCTCCAAACTAATGAGGGCTACATGTTTGGGTTTATATGGCTTAAAGGATGACTCAGATAACTACAATTTTCAGATTGCTGGCCATAGTTGACTGTGAGCTAACTGTACAATCCTGTCTATCTCTAACAACCGAAACAGGCTACACAGCTTCCCACACTGCAATGCAACACCACCACTATTTCCAAAAACCAAATCAAAGGAGGTTTAAAAATAATGACTCTTTTAATGCACTGATAAGTATGGGGCCCTTGTGTAGACTGAGTGGAGCTCCTCCAGAGCAGCCCAAGCCAAACGTCAGTCTTATGACAGAAACAGATAGGACCCTCAGGAATGGAGCACCACATGTGAGGGCTTTACTTCTTCCACAAAACAGGCAATTCAAGGACCAGGATGGAAGAGTCCTTATAGCTTCATCCATCCATCTCAGTATCGCAAGGGTCTATGGCATGGACAGGTAATACCACCCCTGTATTTGTTTCATCATCTTCCAGTATAACACAATCCAGGCTTAGACCATACAGAGAAACTGCTCAAGCTCTTTGAAGACATTGGACCCCTCTGCAGAGAATTGTGAGCAAGTCCTCAGGCAGCACAGGGCAATCTGTCAGAGCAGGAGCACGTCTGGTGCTAACTGATGTATAGTTCTTTTCTGAGGTCATTAAACTTCAGAAAATCCAATCAGCCTTTACAACACCAGCTGAAAGGCTGCCTCCACAATTACCAAGATCAGACCACAAGACAGAGATGCTAACTCAATAGAACCTGATTTATATTGGTCTTCCTGTCCATTCATTCAAGGCAGATTTGTCCCCTGAGCCCAAAGGCTATTCCCTGACAGCTTTTAAAATATGATTGGAAACTTACTGAGAGGTGGTATTTTTTCTTGATGTTATGATGAGGTTTCCCAGCACCATATAAATGGTGCACCAACACCAACCAAAGCAATTCCATTACAGTGGGATCATCATGAAATCACCAGCTGTTGTATCAGTAGTCAAGTAATGTCTGCTGCCATCTCTACTGGGCACAGGTCTGTTTTCATTTCAGGAAGTCAGAAGAAGCTCAATGAAGTCAAGAAAATGTCACTATTTGGGTATAGCTTGGGTAAGTGGTCAGATATACCCTGTACTGCTTAATAAAAATAATAACAATAATAATATTTTATATTAAAAAAAAGAAATAGGTGAGGAGAACACTGAAAAAGTGGATAAAGTCTTTAGAGTGTCAGAATTTATTAAGAGCCAGGACTTACCGGTGCGCCGACGTAGCCCTTAACTCCTGGAGGACCCTGTTTTCCCTCGGATCCCTGGCAAGGAATTGAGATAGAGTAAAATACCAGAAAATTTCACATTAAAGACCAAGAATAAAATCAAGTTTTGAGAAATGTAGCTTGCTCTCCTGGGCTCACAGGGGCTGTTGAGGCTTCTCAACTGTCTCAGTGCTAATATCCAGAGCAGTGTCTGACTTTCCAGCTACTTACCCAAAGTGACATCCCAATGTTTTCCTCTGTCCTCAGTGCTCAGACATTAGCAAGCTTTATCCTTCTGCTTTCAGCCTTGTCCTATAAAGTAAACTGTCCCATGCAAGCCCCTCTACAGGTCTGTTCAGAATTTTTGGCAACAGCAGCCATTGCCTGCCTGTTGTGCACAGAGTGACTGAGCTCCTGAACCAGATGCTATGGAGCAAAGTCCAGGTGTACTTTGCTGCAAGTGCTGCAGCACAGGCTTTACCCCACTACTAACAAATCACAGACTTCAAAGTGTTACATATCTTTAAGAGTAAATGAAAAGAGACACATCAGCACTATATTTTTGAATGTTTATTTTCAGCAGATATGGGAGAAACGCAACAGGATCAGATACATTTCTGCAGTTCTTCAGCTGGTCAGGCACTGAACTTCTCCCTGGAGAAGGTAAATTGAAATGGAGAGCACCCTCCCTGCATGCTTTTATGTGCTTTACAATGTCTGAAACTGGTCTGGATCCTCAGATGAACAGGATCAGCCCTCAGAGCCATACTGTGGATACAGTCTGGGCCTGACAAGGTGACCATGAGAACTGGTTTGATCTCTTATATCACTTATTTGACGCATTATCTTGTTACTTATCTCACTCTCCTTTTCTTTCTCCTTTCTTGTACTGAGTGGCTGTAATGGATAAGGCTTCAGAACAAAGAAAGATTTTCCTTTTAAACAATTTCTACATTTCATATGATTCTATGAAAAATATGAGATCTGTTTGCAGTGAACTGTTAGAAGGATGGAATATTTTTTGTCCCAGTGATAAGACCCAGGTGGCAGGTCACTGTTTACCCTTGCCTTAACCCAAATGACAAATTCATTTACAGCAGTTGTTAAGCACAGTCCTGACAGGCTGGATGGACTGCACTTGGCTAGTGTTTCACTTCCTCTTCAAGGAATGCATTGCCAAAGCTGTCCCCTCCCTCAGCTGGAGAGGACTGAACTTGTTAAAGCAGATGAAGACGTGCTCTGAGGCTTCTGAGCAGTCATCAGCCCAGCTGCAAAGTAGTTGAACCAGTGGTAAGCATGGAAGCAAACCACACAGCAAGCTTAGGAGAGAGATTTACAAGCAGGTCAACAAGAGCTTGGCTTAGGCACAAGCAAAGGTGGATCTGGGATCTCTACATCAGACACCTCTGCAAGGTCAAGGAGCAGTATAAGTCCTCTTATGGCAGAGGGAGAGCAGCAGACATCCACTGAAATCTCTGCCTTCAGCCCACAGAAAAACACTACTATCAACATCTAGGCAAAACCTCTGCAGAAATTTGGATAACTGCTCTGAGCTGTCCAGATTATCAAAGCCCAGCTCCACACCGTTAAATAAAACATGGTTATAATGCTCAGCAAAAATTATCGAGAAACTGGGTTTGTCTGGATGACAAGACATCCTGATCCCGCTCAAGGCCTGTGCTGAGATCATGTCTGGTAAACCAGAGAAGTGTGAGATCTTCAACAGCTGAAGTAAACAACAAGAAGGAAATTTGTCAAAATGAAACTCTTAGCTAATGCTTTATATTTCAAAACCTTGATATTTTTTCCTTTTCCCTCTGTTTTTTCTATCAAGCACAGATAAGTGTCAGTTCAGATGGGAATGCTCCAGGGTGCCACAGCAATCACAGCCACAAAGAATCTCTTTGACCTTTCATGAAAAACACAGAACACAAGAATGAAAAGGTTGAATATTAGCTGCAGGATTTTACAGGCTAAAGGGCCTGGCCTCAAAAATTCAAGCTTTGTTTCACTGCAATAATATCATGCAGTGAGGAACTTGTGCTATGGCATTTTTTTCTCTGGATCCACTTACTCCATTTAAATTAATCTGCCAGGTCCTATTTATTTAGGTGGGAGCCTTCTCCATCGAGCAGTGGATATTTCTTGCCATCTCAGACCACTATGGCATCTTCTACAACCAGATGTTTCAACACTGATTTGCACAACACTGACTTTGAGAGCTCTTCTTTGCTTCTACCAGCTCGTAGCCAGCAAGACCACACATCCTTCAGGGTGAGCTATGAAGTTTACCCACCAAGTGTAGTGAAAAAAAACCCAGGAAACCAAAAAAATCCACACATTTTTATGATGAAGAAACTGAGCTGGGAACAATCTCCCCTAGAGACTTCCCTGAGCAGTAAAACTGGAGATAATGTACTGAGGCAATTTCATTCCTGTAACCCATACGTGTCCCCTAATGGGCTCCTCATCTATTAAAGTACCTCTGTGGATTCAAGTCCTATTACCAGAAGTCTGCAGGACCCTTATCTGTGCTACTGGAAGCTTCACACAACTCATGAGATCTGCACAAGTTCCTTAAAAGAAAGAAAGTGCCAGCAATTCCCACTGAGGCAAAAGACTGGAAATCCCTCAGCCAAGCAGATAAGCAGGGAACTGAATTTCCTGGGGTGCACAAACAGCTACTGAGCACCCACTGCACTTGGCTCCATGAAAATCATAGAATCATAATATAATCACAGAATTATTAAGGTTGGACTTTAAAGATCATCTAATTCTAAGCCCCTCTGCATGGGCAGGGACACCTCCCACCAGACCAGGTTGCTCAGATCCCCATCTAACCTGGCCTTGAACACTTCCAGAGAGGGGGTCTCCACACAGATAATGTTCCAATAATGTTCCAGTGTTTTACCTCCCTCACACTAAAGCATTTCTTCCTAATGTCTGACCTAAATCACCCTTCTTCCAGTTTTAAGCCATTACCCCTTGTCCTCTCACTACATGCCCTTGTAAAAAGGCCCTCCCCAGGTTTCCTGTAGGCCCCATGAATGAAGATGGATTGAGCCAGGAAGGACCACATCACAAATGACCAGAGGAACTGCAAGGTTCCTTCATGGAGCCTGGGTTAGAGCCCCAAGCCACTGTATTGATGCTGATTATTTTAAATAAAAATAAGTGATCTGGCAAAACCCAATGATTACAACAGTAATTGGAGATGTGACTATTTCAATTGCTCCACCTCTGCCCATCTCTACACACCTTGTTCCACACTGCTGAGGTGGTTGGGCTTTACACCAAGGAGTAGAAGGACTGTGGGTTCATATGTTAGATTTTAAAGCTCTGTCAGCAGAGCCAGGATTGTTTCTTAAAATAGCTCAGGTCAGAACCCAGCTCAAGGACACTGCATATAGTCAGCACATCTGTTGAGGCAGATAAAAGTCACTGTGAAAGCACACGATCAGGCTATATTTAGCCACTGTAGCTGAGAGGCTGAGCTTAGCCAAGTTGAACTCTTCCCTGGGAGCACTTGGCACTGCTCAGTCAGACTTCTTTAGTCCAGCCCCACCAGCACCTATCCTGCCCAGCCCACAGTGCTGAACTTCTATTCAGCGTTGCCTTGCTACCTGGCTAAACTAAATGTGCCTGATCATCCTGGTGGCAAATAGGGAACACTTTCTAAGATCAAGCCCTTCTGAAGGTAGATGTAAATGACTCAGTTTAGCTTAATTTGTAAAAGCTTTGCAAAGCAAGAGTGAGGAACTTCACACGATGAGGAGCATCATATAATCGCGGGTGCATTAAGAAGTGTGTCCAGCAGGTCTAGGGAGGTTCTCCTCCCCCTCTGCTCTGCTCTGGTGAGACCACACTTGGAATACTGTATCCAGTCTTGGGCTTCCCAATTCAGGAGACACAGGGATCTACTGGAAAGGGTCCAATGGAGAGCTAAGAGGATTATCAAGGGACTTTCTTAGGCTGAGCTGAATTTGTTGTACAGGATGCCCCTGAAAACACACTTGGTCAATCCAGTGCACCATCTTCTAACAACAAGACTGAAACCAGTAGATAGAGAGTTACTCCCTCAGTTAGCAGGGAACATGGCAAGGAGAGCTGAGACTTTGAAAGGAGGTATAAGAATTGCTCATAAGAAGGACTTCAAAATTTGGGCACATTTCTGACACTCTGCTAAGTCTCCCCAGATCCTCAATCACAAGCATCTTGCTTGAAGCAAACCCAATGATACAAACATTGCCTCCAGTTCTGCATCACTTAGCCACTGTCTACTGGTATAAAACTGAAGCTCCCAAAACAGGCAGAAAAATCCAGGCTAGGATATGTCCTTGATGTGTATTTTTCCAGTCATAGAGCAGGGATAATAATTCCCACCTGCATATTTGCAAGAATTGGGAAGGCTTACTGAAGACATGAAGTAAGGCTTATGTGCCCCAAAACATATTCTCTTCTCCCTCTCCATCTATGCTGCTGATTGAACAAAGGGTATTTCTTCTTCTTACATAACCTTTCCTAATTGCTGCTATCTTAGCAGATCTCTGATGAAAATGAGTATCTTGAGTTTCTTCATTAACCAGTGAGAACATCAAAAGTCAGAAACAAAAAGTAATTCAAACAATTCACACATGCAAAAAGTGAGGGGGGAAAAAAATATACCTGTCCATATAAAGAAGCAATGGAAAATTTACCTTTGGACCTGCTGGCCCAGGCAGTCCAAATGCTCCTGGTCGTCCTGGTTCACCCTGCAAGTAACAGCAACATTGGTGGTAAATGCTTAACTTCTTTCTACAAAGGCCAGGATGGCTCAAGAGTCATTAAATAAAGCTTTAGAAATGAAGCCAATCCCCAATATCTACAGTCCTGAGTACCACTACCCAGACAGCTGAAGGTTTGTCATGTGTTTTATTTGTAAAAAAAAACAAACAACCCCAAAACAAAAGCAGAAGGAGGGAAACTGAAAACTAAGGCAGACATTTACCTGCTTGTCCAACACAACCACCTAAATGGCAAGAAATAAGTTCCCTAAGTTGAGAACAGCTTGTACCAAC